TCTGAGACTCGTAAGTTTTACTATTAGATGTCGGGGTGTTGACCTATTTTTACTGATTTTGAGAGGGGTTCTCTGTGCCTCCTAGATTTTGATGCCTGTTTCCTTCCCCACATTAGGGAAGTTCTCTGCTATAAGTTGCTCCAATATACCTTCTGCTCCTCTCTCTCTCTCTTCTTCTTCTTCTGGGATCACAATTATTTTAATGTTGTTTCATCTTATGGTATCGCTTATCTCTCAAATTCTGCCCTCGTGATCCAGTGGTTGTTTATCTCTGTTTTTCTCAGCTTCTTTATTTTCCATCATTTGGTCTTCTGTATCACTGATTCTCTCTTCTGCCTCATTTATCCTAGCAGTTAGTGCCCCCATTTTTTATTGCACCTCATTAATAGCCTTTCGATTTTGACTTGGTTAGATCTTAGTTCTTTTATTTCTCCAGAAAGGGTTTCTCTAATAACTTCCATGCTTTTTTCAAGCCCAGCTAGTATCTTTAAAATCATCATTCTGAACTCTAGTTCTGACATCATACTAATGTCCATATTGAGTAGATCCCTGGCAGTCGGTACTGCCTCTTGTTCTTTTTGTTGAGGTGATTTTTTCCATCTTGTCATTTTGTCCAGAGGAGAATAGATGAATGAGAAAATAAAACGCTAACAGGGTAACAACGTCCCAGAAAATATACTCTAAACAAATCAGAAAAGACCTGAAACTGGAGGAAAAGAAAGGGAAAGAAAGAAAAAAGAAAAAAGAAAAACAAACAAAAACAGAACAAAACAAAAAAAACAGAATATGATCAAATATGATCAGGCTGCTGCATAGACCAGTGCCACACATTAGATTTTGGGTGTATTTTGGTCTGTTAGAAGAAAGTGCCTCCCAAAATTTTAAAGAAAAACTTACATATGTACAAAAATAAGGCTTAATATGATGAAGGGATGAAATATGACTGTAAAGATGAAAATTGTAAAAGATTTTATAAAAGGAATTGATAAGTTGTTTGAAAAAAGAAGAGGATAAAAAAAAAAAGGGAGAGAATGTGATCAGGCAGGAGACTAGAACAAAGCCATACACTAGAGATTTAGAGTATATTTTGATCTGTTAGAAGAAACTGTATCTCAAAATTTTAAAGAGAGAACAACTTATATATATATATATGGCAAAAATAAGAGTAACTACTATGAAGGGATAGAATATGACTCTAAAAATGAAAAATAAAAATGTTTTTTAAAAAAGGGATTAATAAGATGTTGGTTGAAAAAGGGAAAAAGAAAAATTGAAAAAAAAAAAAGACAAAGAATAAAATTAACTTTGAAAGACTTAAGAATCATGGTAAAAAAGCCATGAATTCTATGTGCAGTATTCCCCTAGCGCTGGAGTTCTCCCGTTCTCCTTGATCGGTAAACTTGGTCTTGGCTTGCTGGCTGTTCGGCTGATCTTCTGGGGGAGGGGCCTGTTGCCGTGGTTCCCAAATGTCTTTGCCGGAGGCGGAATTGCCCCGCCCTTGTCGGTCCGGGCTAAGCAGTCTGCTCGGGTTTGGTTTCAGGAGCTTTTGTTCCCTGCAAGCTCTCTGTACAGCTTTGGAGGACCAGGGCGAAAATGGTGGCCTCCCAATCTCCACCCGGAGGAGCTGAGAACTCGGGGCCCCGCTCCTTAGTGCGCCCCCAGAGAAAAGCAGTCACTCCCGTGTCCCCGGTCTCCGGCCGCACTCCGTGCTCACCCGGCCCGTGACCGAGCGTTTCTATCTCTGGTGCCCGACCCCGTGTGGAGTCTCCAAACCCAGCAGATCCCTGCGGTGCGCTCCCGCGCCACTCCTCCCGGGGGAGGAAGGGGTGTCTCCCCGGCTCTGCCGCTTGTTGGGTCCCTGCTGGAGGAGCAGTGGCCCGACTGGGCCGCGGATCACAGTTTATGGCCACCCCGAGCTGAGAGCCTGCGCCTCGGCTCCGTCTCTGCAGCCGGCTTCCCCGCTCCGATCCCTGGGAGCTCTGCTGCACTCAGGCACCCCTGGTCTTTCTGTGACCCCGAGGGTCCTGAGACCACACTGTCCCGCGAGGGTTCCACCCCCCGCTTAGCCACTGGAGCGACGTCCCTCAGCGGAGCCGACTTCCAAAAGTTCCGATTTTGTGCTCCGCGGCTCTAGCACTTGCCAGAAGCGGCCGACGGAGGCCCCTCCCCCGCCGTCTATCCTCCCGAATATCTCCTCGGATTCACTTCTCCGCACGTCCTACCTTCCAGAAAGTGGTCGCTTCTCTGTTCAGAGAGTTGTTGCTACTCTGTTCTTCGATCTCCTGTTGAGTTCGTAGGTGTTCAGAATGGTTTGATCCCTATTCAGCTGAATTCCTGAGACCAGACGAAATCCAGGTCTCCTACTCCTCCGCCATCTTGCTCTGCCCCCTGGGTTCCACTTCTTAGACAGCTTTTATTTGGTCTTTTTTTCAAATTAGGATTGGTCTTATTTTTTGTCACTAAATGGTTTATTGACAGGTGGCTGCATTTTACAAAAGTATCTCTTACTGTGTGTGCATGGGAAAATTACCTTTAATAGAACATGTGTTAGAACATATTAGGATGAAGAAGCCAGAATATGTCTCATCCAGGTGGAGCTGGGGCACTGAATTAGATATCCCCCAAACTGGGGCTGCTCATACTTTAATGTGCATCTGAGTCTCCCTAGAGGCCTTGTTAAAATGCACGTCCTCATTTTCTCATTCTGGAAAGGAGTGTGTGAGAGTCTGCATTTTTAACAAGCCCCTGAGGATGCTGATGGTGCTGATCCTGGAAGTTACACTTGGAGGAACAGTGCAAGAGGGGCTTTCTGGTGTCCTCTCATTCAGTGTTGTTATATCTACTTATTTAAAGTGATTTGGAAGGGAATTTTTGAATTCCATCTTTTTTTTTTTTTTTCATTTTATTGACTAGCCTTCAAGATGAACAACACCATGCAGGGAAATAGAATAAATGTTTCTTCTAGTGGTCCTTCTGCCAATCGATTCTCTTCTGTCTTCCTTTTAGGCCTCTGATGATTGTCACACAGAAGATCACGACCTTGGCATTCCAAGTTCATGATGGTGAGAAAAACAACTGTCCTTTCAGTTCTGAGAGTGAGCTCTTCATTTAGACAATACCCATAGTCCAGAGCTTAGCCAAGTGCTAGCAGATCTTTTTTAACTTGTCAAAAATTTACAAGCTTCTTTAATCAAAGCTCTTTACTTTCACAGCTATTATTTCTGTAATCTAAATTTGCTGAAATATTTACTGAGAACAGTTGGCTTTCTGTTTATATTTATAATGTTTTAAATTTACGGCGCTCTCTGCCCTTTATTTCCAAATCTCTTGAGAAGAAATGGCATCCTTTTTCTGTGGTTTAATCTGAGAAGCTCACAAGGTAATAAAAAATAGTATTGGCTAGTTAACAATTTTTTTTAATGCTAATTTCGTTCTGTTTAGTGTTTTTGTTTTTGTTGTTTGGCTTGGAAAATTATCTAATGAGATTAGCCTGACCCTTCTCCTTGGAAGAAAGAAGAAGCTCCTGTTTGTATAAAACTGAACATTTTCTTTGCTCATGCCCTTCCTGAAAATGACCAGAAAGTGTGATTGACATGATTAAAACCTGGTTCCAGGGAAGAAGGATGGCACTTTCAGCCGGGTGGAAGATTTCAATATGGGTGTGAAAGGTGTCAGGTGCAATTAGTAAAAGTATACCCTGCAGATTTGTACTGTTCTGGCAAATGCTTTCGGACTGTTGAAGCTTCTTTATGTGCGAGAAGATTTACAATCTCTGTTAGCTAGTCTTATTTTTCTTTAAAGCTTGGGACCTGATTTAATTCCTTTTGACCCTGGGTATTCCTAGTTCATACTTGGTGATTTAGTCATTCTGTAGAGACCTGGGTAATTTTATACCAAGGATGGGGTCTTTCTGGGGTGACCAACTGTCCTGGTTTGTCCAGAACTGAGCAGTTTCCCAGGACATGAGACTTTTAGGGCCCAAATTGGAAAAGTCCAGGGCAAACCGGGGTTGAGTTGATAAATGTTTTTGTACCTAAAAGTCTAGTTGGTAGTGGTGATAGACTAATATTAGCACATAAACTAATAGCTAAAATAAATTTAATTTCTAGGATTGCCAGAAATGTTGACGTCTTAGAAAAAAGTGAGTGTGATTTAAAAAAAAAAAAAAAAGTCTTTTTTTTTTTAAATAGGCTTTTTGCCTAAATTACTTTTTAAAGCATTCTTAGTTTACGTGATTTTCTGGAACAGCCCTTACGTACAGCAAGAGGTTTGTCATTTCTTTTTTTCTTGTGTGTAGTGGGAACAGCAAACACTGTCTTCCTTTATGCATTTTTCTGAATTGCCTTTGTGATTGGTGACCATCGTCAGTCTTAGCTCGATATACAGCTGTGTAGTCCAATGTCTATAGCTTACTAGATGACACTTCAGTTTCTGTGACTATAAGCTAACATAAATTTTATGAGAAGCACAAAGGTGATTTGGTGGGGTTTTTTTTTTTTTTTTTCTGGCATGGATGAATTTTAAAAGAATCACCTGATACATCTTTTATGTTTTTCCTGCATTCAGGATTACATTTCCTGTGTTTTTGGAAGAGGAAAAATCCCCTGTTCCTTTCCCCATTCCACACCCGTGCTCTCAGCTGCTAGCAGGTGTCTGCAGCCAGCCTAATCAGAGAGGTCTTTGAGCTGGTGCAGGCTGCAAAGGCAGGCTTCTCTCTCTCGTAGGGGTGAAAACATATGTACTTTGGTAAGAAGTGGAGGAGATGTGGGGAGTTCTCTGGGATCCATGTCATACCGTGCAGTTTAAATAGGAGTAACCCCTGCTTTCTCCCCTTTTCACGAGAACCTGTGGAGACTTTCCCCTTCACACGTGCACTTGCGGGTAGCTCTTTAATCCAGAGCATTTTCAAAAATGATTTTATGATTTATGAAATAAATGAAATGTGAAATAAATCACTTTTTTTCAAATGACTTTTATAAGCCTCTTTTAGAATTTTCTACTTCAAACATCTTATTTCTACCTTTTTTCTTTTTTATAGGATTAGGTCGAAGAGCTGAAGACCTCTCTGCTGAGCAACATCGACTTGCTGTGAAGTAAGTTTAACAATATATTCTCGAGCCCTTTGTACATCAGTGTCTAGAAATCCTCCTCATTTTTCAACGCAGATTAACTCCACTATATGGACATATTAGTGTTTATTAACAAATCTATTGATGGGTACTTGGGTTGTCTGCCAGTCTTTGGCTTTTACAAACCCTGTTCCTAGGTCATTTTAAAAAGGTTTGGGTATAGCGGTGGGATAGATTCCCAGAAGCGGGTTTGCTGGGCCAGAGAGTACACGGGTCTATAATTTTGTTAGTTTTGCAAGATTCTCCTTCACTGCCATTGTTAGGTCTCTTACAGAGTTATTTTTATTGGGTATGTGTCTGCCCAATAAATAATCAGTGCACATCAGTATGATTAAATAAGGCTCTGAAGACGGATGGGAGCAGGGCTGGAGAGAGCACTGTGAGCTGGGGAGTAGGAGACAGAAGGCAGGAAGCAGGAAGCAGGCTGAAGGTAGACAGTGCCTGGTGTGGATGTTGGAGAAAGGGAGGCTGTAAGGGAGGAGAACAACATTGGTAGGGAATGGAAATGGTTTGTGGGGTAGCACATCGGGGAAGGACGGGCAGCTACGGTGGAGGGTTCCTATAGGAGACTTTCAGGAGGTAGTTAGGGGTAAGGAAGAGAGGGTCCTGAGTGGTACGGAGATTGAGTGCCTCGTTTTCACATTAAGGGATTGGGACTCGGAAGCAATGGAGACCCACTGCAGGAGACTAATGAATCAGATTCTTTGCTCAGTATTGTGGGGGTAAAAATGCTGTAGGGCGTAATTCCAGTGACTGGTTAGCAATGGCATTTTAGGGAGCCTTTCCCCGCAATACTATCCTGCCCCTTTAAATACCATTAAAACACCGCTACCTAGAACTGGTCTCTGTAGAATTTTCCCCCACCACTACTTTTGTCTGTGGTTGGGGACCTCATGCCTGGATGCCAAAGCAGACAGGAGACTGCTATAGTGGTGGTTTTATGTGTCCTCTTCAAGAGGAAACTGGTTCCACCCATCATTTGTATTGTGTTTATTTTGGCAGTTGGGAGGGAGTTTTCCCATTTCACAGCATCTCGCTCAGCTCACATTGGTCAGGTTCCCACCCCTGCCTCGTGTTTATTACCTTCATTCTCTCTTGCGGACAGCTAAGGTTGCTGAGAAAGAGCACGTCCCAGCCTCAGAATTACCCTGGATCTCGCCCTCCATGTTTGTAGACGCCGTCGGCCAGCAGAGGGCGCCACGGAGCGCTGCACCTTCTCGGAGCCACCCACCTCTATTAACTTGTCCTTTCCACAAGGTTTCCAGCTTAGGTGGATTTTTAGAGAACCGGAACAAAAAAAGACCACGTCATGTGTTATCATCTACAAAGACAACGCCTGTGTTTAGGATTGACCTGCGGATCTCAGAGAAAAATCCAAGACTGAAGGCTTTTCAACTTTTTTTTTCACTTTATTTTCACAGAGTAAAACCCTCTTTTTTGGAATACTTAAGCTACCTTCTCAACTTCATGAGTGTCATAGCTGGCCCTTGCAACAATTTCAAGGATTATGTAGCCTTTATTGAGGGGAGACACATACACACGAAGTTGCTGGAAGTGAACTGGAAGCAGAGAGGTTTCCACAGCCTACCAGAGCCTTCTCCCACTGTAAGTGTTTAGTGCCAAGTATTTACCCAGAGCTCCAGAAAAATAGAGCTCCGTTGCCAGGGCTGACTCTCACTAGTAATTGTTCTAATTAAAAAGCCAAACAGTTTTCCAGAAAGCTTGGCCAGTAGCTCCCCCCACCCCCGTTTCCCTCACAGCAGAGCTCATGGGCTGGAAATATTAAAGAATCGATCCACTAGGTCAACCTGCCAATATTTAATGCTTACAGTGTGCTCAGCACTGTGCTGGTTAACACATTCGGATTTATGAGTGCTTTTTTGTCTTTATGAATAGAAATGCATATCCAGCCAAAGGATAATGTCATGAAAGGGGGTTGGGGAGGGAATTGGAACCAGAATAAATGTTTGTTTGTTTGTTTGTTTTTATCGCAGAGCCTGCTTCTTGTGTGGGAAACCAGTTTTATGTTGGCATGCTTAAAGACTGGTTTTACTGATTTGGAGAGTTTAAGATGGTTTTTTGGAAATCCTATTTTAATCTTAACTTGGATTTTATTAATTTCAAGTTAGTCAGCATTAGGATAATGTGTCAAACTTCACAAATATGCTGAATTTATTCAGGTCCAATATCCTATATTTAAGGGAAGTTTGTAATTGAAGGAAGAGGGAAAATTGGAAAAAGGAGAAAATCAGGATGACTGAGTTAAATACTTTGTAAATGCTAAAATCGAGGCAAAATTAATTATTTGAAAATTTAAGTGCCTCACTAAGCATGAATTTTCAGATAGTTTTGACTATCTGAACACAGGTGTCCAGCAGAGTATGGTTTGTCAACTGTCTCAGCTCTTCCTGCGTCATTGAAACAGTGCAGGAGTGAGGTCGCCATAGTCATGAGACATCGAAGTACTCACAGGAGTTTCTTGGCAGAAACCGCAACAGTAGTGCTCTTGTGTTTCACATGCTCTTATTTAGAGAATATGATCACAGAGTCTTAATATCACTCCCCAGGGAGACTCTTGCATTTTTGTGCACAGAGAAAGTGAAGCGGTCAGGTGGTATTTTGGCTAAAGACACATCGGGGGGAGGCGGCTGGCCCTCCCAGGCTGGTGCCTCCCCAGTGTGTTGTTGATAATCGCGGCCACGCATGGTGAGCACTTGACTGGGAGCCCGATGCTGGGTACCTGGCAAATATTCATTCACCTGAACCTCAAGCCGCTCTGAGGAGGTGCTATTACTGTCCCCGTATTACAAAAAATGTGGCCTGTTTTTATTTTTATTTTTTTAAGACTTATTTATCTGATGGAGAGAGTGCACCAGAGTGCAAGCCTGAGTCGGGGGAGGGGCAGAGGGGGAGGGAGAGAATCTTAAGCCAACTTGGCACTGAGCGTGGAGCCTGACACTGGGCTCGATCTCCCGACCCACGAGATCACGACCTGAGCCAACATCAAGAGTTGGATGCTTAACGGACTGAGCCACCCAGCTGCCCCACCCAGAAAGTGGCCTGTTTTTATAAAATTGGGAACTATAGTTCTATTGATGTTAAATGACATTCCCTGGAATGTCAGGAAGACTGGGCAAAATCATTTGGTCCAGAGGCATTTAAAATGTCAGCGCATCTTAATGCTAGAGCAGACTACATGTAAACCATCCTGGAAGGCTTTCTAAAACTCCCCATTACCTGCTCATGTCCCGGCTCAGGCATTTCAAAACTTGCACAGAATCCTTCCTAGCTTAAGCCTCTGTCCTCCTTATGGTGATTCAGACCCGTTTCCTTAACTCTGCTGGCAACAGAAGTAGAAGGCAAATGGTTATTCCTTTCTGATGGAAGATTGTAGTCTATAATGCTCTTTTTTTTAAAAGGTTTTATTTATTTATTTGACAGAGACAGTGAGAGCAGGAACACAAGCAGGGAAGTGGGAGAGGGAGAAGCAGGCTCCCCAATGACTGAGCCACCCAGGTGCCCCAGTAATGCTCTTTCTCTGAAGTTTTGGGTAATAAAACCACCTTCCTTTTGGGGGCACCTGGGTGGTTTGGTCAGTTAAGTGGCTGCCTTCAGCTCAGGTCATGGTTCTGGGGTCCTGGGATCGAGTCCTGCCTCCTTGCTCAGCAAGAGCCTATTTCTCCCTCTGACCCTCCTCCTGCTCATGCTCTCTCTCTAAGAAATAAATAAAATCTTAAAAGAAAAAAGCTACCTTCCTTTTGTCAGTAGAATGTGCTAGTAATAGTTTTCTTCCATTTTAGATACATTCAGACCTCAAGTGTCAGTGGTGTAGTCTTCATTTGCATTTAGCCCCTATGCCCAGCATCCAGTTTGTGTCCTAGGAATGCCTGTCGCCGCTCCTTGTAAGGAATATTACCAAAGCAGCTATTGGAACTGCTTTGTCCCTAAGATGCCCTTGCTGAAATTGTTTTCCTCATACGGGAGTCTTGCATGGTTACCCTGATTTTTTCCACATTTTCAGAGAGCTGTGATACGCAAGCTGTGTATGACCTTGGTGTCTCTCCTCCTGTTTTTGACGCTCACGAAGTCCTTCCCTGTCACCTGCCTGGTCGATGACTGGTTTGTTCATAAAGCAAACTTTCTGACTCGACTCTGCTACTTATATATTGTCATGCAAGCCTCAAAGCCCAAGTATTACTTTGCCTGGACATTAGGTACGTTTGATGGAATGGCCCTGAGTGAATGAGGGAAAGGGAGACTCCTTGGATGGCCTATCCAGAACAGCATTGTGGATCCCCTAACCAAAAAAAAGTTCAGTGCATGATGGAGGTAGCTGAGCCAGTATCATTTTGTACTTTCCAGCAGAGCACCCCTGTGTCCTGCCATCCATAAACTCAGTTATCCCCGAAAAGAGAAAAGCAGCCCTAGCTGTGGCTTCAACTCAATGTTATTAACAGATGTGCAAACTCGGAAGCTTCCTCCACCAATCAAAGGTGCCCATTAGTACAGTGGAAAGTTAGGGGAAAATTCCAGAATGATCTGGCTGCTTGTCATTTTTCTGGGTCGTGCATAACCGAGGGGACGTGTTTGAAAAAATGTACCAAAACACATGCTGGTTTAGGGTCACACTTTTTCTTTAAGAAATTGTTGGTTAAAAAAAAATTGTTGGTTAAGATTTATGCCTTAGAAACCGCATTCAGGTGACTTTTTCTTTTTTAAGATAGAACGTTCAACTTGATTTGCTTTTTTCTCTTTCCTTTCAAACTGTTTTAGACTGGAAAAGTTTAAAGCTTTGCTGGAGTGAGCACTAAGTCCTCCTATTTACTTACCAGGAGTGGTAAGGGATTTTTGATAAGGCATGGCAGCTCAGGAATGTAAAGTTAAGTTCTTAGCTGAAGGTGACCTGGGGCTTGATGTCCGGGACCCCTGATTTGGTTTATTAAGTCAAACAGATGATTAAATTCAGCGCCTAGTGCTTAGCCTGTGTTCCATGAGTGAAGGCATAGCATTTAATTGAGTTCCTTTTCTCTCATTTCATGCTCCAAGTTTTTATCCCCAAATTAAAGCTGGTAGCTACTAAATTCCTTTTTTACTTTTTATTGTGGTAAGATAGAACACAATTTATTATTTTAACCATCTCTAGTGTACAACTTAGTGGCATGAAGGTGTTGTGCAACTATCACCACTATCCATCTCCAGAACGGAATTTCCCTATCACCCCAAACAGGAACACTGTACCCATTAAAAAATAAGAACTCTTCATTCCCCAAGTCCTGGTCTGAATTATTTTTAAAGGTCGAAATGTTCAGGGAGAAGTTCAGTCCAGTGCGGTATTTATGTGACACTTGGCCAGAAAGATCGAACGGAGGGCTTTTAAAACATCTGCAGCATGGGAAGTTTTGTTTGTCACCTTTGGTTCAATTCAGGGAGTTTTTGTCACGCACCAGGTTCTGTGCCAGGAGGAATGCAAAGGTGAGTAAGCCCTCTTCTCTGCCATCAGGATTGTTAACAGTCCGTGGGCACAGGGACGGGCATACCGACCAGGCAGGAACGTGGCGAGCTGTCCCGATGCCAGCAATCCAGAGGGGATGATGAATATAGACCAGTTGTTTTGGAAGGCTTCAAAAGCCTTATTCCTCTTTCTGCACTTGCTTTATGACTTGAGAATGATAATTTCTTCAGTAGGTAGGCATGATACATACTATAGTTGGAACCTAGCTTGGAGCACCAGGCTTATTTTCCTACGTGAGATACTTAATATTTCCACTTTGCTCTAACCTGAGTGTGTGTATGTTTGCAAATGAGAGAATGAGAGAGAGAGAGAGAGAGAGGAAGAGATAACAGCTCACTTCCCTTGGCTGCCTTCTACGTCTTCACTTACCCTTCCTTTTCTGTCTCTCTCTCCCTACCTCTCCTGCTCCCATATTCCGTATCCTAGGGCTTAAGGGCTGGCTTCTGGACTAAATCAGCTCCCGCTTTAGGAGGAAAGCAAGGCCCTGCATGGCCTCCTAGGGAAAGTCTAACTCGAGGTGGGTTGTGCTGGTGGGGGTGTGGGTGGGGAGGGGGTTCTAGGCAACGGGGGGTGTCTGGCATCGTTCTGCCCTTTTGGGAGTGCCCTGGATACTGGGAGCATCCTTTTCTGGGGGTAGTTTTCTCCGTGGGCTTGGCTCTTTTCTATACCCCTTTCCATTTATCTTTTCTTTTGCGGGGGTGGGGGCAGTAGCTTCAGGAGAAACACTTCATTAATTTGTACGGCCTCAGTTCGAACTTTGTTACAGTTTAGATTGTACGGGCTGGTCTGAAATTAACCTTTGTATCATTTATGAATAAAGAAGCAATGAATAGTCTAACAGGGAATATTTAAACTGCTTAACCGAATAATTGTTTTATCCAGTTCCTTAAAACATCATTTACATATAATTGATGCACTAATTCTACATGATTATGAATTTAATCCTTAAAGCTAGCCTCTTCATGAATCTCAGCTGAGCTGCACCGTGTTAGCCTCGCTCTCGTTACTGTTTATATTGAAATAATTAAGGCAATTTTCTTTGGACTTATTATAAAATTCTGGTTGTTTTCCCCTAATTAGTACTGATTAGTGAGACTCAGCTTCAGCCCGGGCTGTGTTCCAAGGATCACAACCTCCAAAATATGGGTGTCCAAGTTAATTTATCTGTAATAATACAATAGGCAATACAAGTAAAGCCAGTTTGGGGCTGGTGAACTTAGAACCTCTAACTGCTCAGAGACAAAACCACATCTTGGATAAACAGTGGTGAAATGCATGACGGGGAGCAAGCACGTCCCTAGCCTCTCGACGCAGCCTCTGAGAGCCACCCTTCTGATCCTTCCTTTGTCTTTCAGAGTGACTCCTAGTCACTCAGGTGGTGGGATCAGAATCCTTTCTAGCATTCAGAGCCTGGCGCTGTTGACCACCTGAGTGAGCGGAATGTTAGCATCACTAAGCCTTGGCAAGATGGGTCTGGGAAAAGAGCTAACATTTCTCGAGGGCTGACTTGGGCTAGGCACTGCGCCAGGAGCACCATTCATGCCTCGTTTAATTCTTTCAACGTGGCTTTGAGATAGGTACCACGCTCATACCCATTTTCTTCTCAAGGGAATGGGTTTCTAGATGATAGACAACTCTCTCGAGGCCATACGTTCAGTATGTTGCTCAGCGGAGACCCAGAAGCCAGGGGTTCTGCCTCTAGAGCTCACCCTGGCATCTTCACAGCCCGCTGGGAGTGCTGAGTGAGAATGCTTGGAGAGTGCTTTATAAAGTCCTGGGAAGATTGTGGGCACCCGAAAGAGAAGTTGTTGTTCTGGGTTTTAGACGAGCCTGGAGGTAGGAGGGGGAATTGAAGGGCTGCTGGTCCCATACTGTCTGGCCAACCCTTGGTTTTCATGTCCAAAACAGACCCCAAAGGGTTCCTCTTCTCCTGGTTCAGCTTATCTTGTCATCGACAGTTTCTTCCCACACATTTAAAACTTCGCTTCTTAACGGGCACACCCCCTGCTTCGTGGTTTTCCTTTTCCACTGAGTTTCCATCCCGTTGGCTTGGGGGAATGACCTAGCAGCTCTCAGTACTTCCCATCCTTCCTTCTGAAAGAAACTAGATCATTTCCCAGTGAAGCCAAGCATAAGATAAGCAGTGTTAAATCTCCAACTATGCCAAAAGGAAAGGAGACAAACCTAGAACAGGTTGTCTTTCTTTAGAGTAACCCTTCAGAAGTCGCTCTGGAGCTGGACCTGAACTTCTATGGGAAAGAATGAATAGTGCCTCAAGAAAGAGTTCTCTAAGATCTCCCCAGATCTAAGGCCTTACAGTGCTGTGATTTAGTTTAATTATTTTTTATTTTAATTCCAGTATAGTTAGCATAGAGTGTTACTAGTTTAGGTATACAATATAGTAATTCAGCACTTCCATACATCACCTGGTGCTCATGATGACAAGTGCACACCTTAATCCCCGTCACCTGTCCCACCTCCCTTCTGGGAACCATCAGTTTGTTCTCTGTAGTTCAGAGTTTGTTGGTTTGTCTCTTTTTTCCTTTTTTGTCTTCTTAAATTCTACATAGGAGTGAGATCATATGGTATTTGTCTGACTTATTTCACTTAGCATTGTAATCCTCTAGCTCCATCTGTGTTGTTGCAAATGGCAAGATTTCATTGTTCTTATGGCTGAATAATATTCTATATATGTATCATCTTTATCCATTCATCTATCGCTGGACACTTGGGCTGATTCCATAGTTTGGCTATTCTAAATAATGCTGCTATAAACATAGGGGTACATGTAGCTCTTAGTATGTTTGTATTTGGGGGGCAAATACCTAGTAGTGTGATTACTGGATCATAGGGTAGTTCTATTTTTAATATTTTGAGGTACCTCCATACTGTTTTCCACAGTGGCTGTACCAGTTTGCATTCCTACCAGCAGTGCAGGAGGCTTCCTTTTTCTCCACGTTCTCACCAACACTTGTTGTTTCTTGTGTTTTTTAGCCATTCTGACAGGTGTGAGGTGATATTTCATTGTAGTTGTGATTTGCATTTTCCTGATGATGAGTGATGTTGAACATCTTTTCATGTGTCTGTTGGCCATCTGGATGTCTCCTTTGGAGAAATGTCTGTTCATGTCTTCTGCCCATTTTTTAATTGGATTATTTGTTTTTTTGTGTGTTGAAGTTTATTTTTTAAAGAAAATATTCTAACAGAATTAACTTTAAGTGAAAGAGACAATTAGCCTTTTGGTCATCATCATAAAAGTATGTTGATTTCATCAGGTCTCTATTTGATGACAACATCACATAATTAAGGAATTAGAAATGTTATACTCACTGCAGGGGGACATTTTCTTATAGTTCCATGAAGTGGAATAAAGATGGAAATGGGAGCTTTCTCAAACTGACTATGGGTAGGATGCTTTGGTAATTGGGTCCACGTGTGGTCTCCGTGGTGGCTGGCCCCAAATTCACATCTCTAGCTCTGCTCTTTGTCTTGTGCTCGAAACTCTTCTAACTGTATCTTGGCAGCCCTGGCTGATACCTACTGGCATGTCATGCTTAGTATGTCCAGAATGAGCTCCAATTTCTCTTTTCAGAGCTGGTTCTTCTCCTGACTCCTCCTCCAGAGGAGTCCGTTCTTGTCGCGAGAACTTTAATGACAGCTCTTGGACCTGCCCAAGTCCTCTGGGTCTCCTCTTTCTGCTGGCCTCTGCTTCTGAGCTTAGATGTTTGTTTACCTTCTTCCCTTTCTCCCCTTCCATCAAGTGGGTCACGAAATCCTGTTGCTTTGTTCCAGTTCATTTTTCTTTTATCTAATTTTGCATTTTTAGGAGCATCTCATGCCTTCTGACTTAGCAGGTGCTCACTAAGTCCTAGTGAATGAATAAAAATTAAGCCCGCCAAAGAGCCCAAAAGGTTTCTGTGATTTCTAATGGTACCAGGTCCTTTCAATTGTTTTGGTTTCTTTTCCAAGGAGAAACTACTGCCCATCTCTCAGTCTTAAAGCTAGACAGACATTTAATATCTTTTAAAGCAGCAATGTGACTTTTGTTCCATATCCTAATGTGTTGTTTTAAAAACCATAGCTGATGCCGTGAATAATGCAGCTGGCTTTGGGTTCAGCGGAATGGATAAGAATGGAAATTTCTGTTGGGATCTGCTTTCTAACCTAAACATCTGGAAAATTGAGGTGAGTTCATTGTGCTTTTGAATCAAGCTTCCACGGTGAATAAAGCAAATGGTTTGCTTTGCATTATCCCCGGAAGCTCTTCCTCAGAGTGTCTAAGGGAAAGTGATCAGGGCATGCCTGGTCCAGCAGCTTCCTGGACATTCTGTGTCTTAGAATTTTTCCTGTTTTTTAAAGATACCTGCTTTCTTGACAGTTGTAATGGTTCAAGGAATGACTTGCAGAAATCTGAAAAAGAGCCAGGAAAATCTTTCTGTTGCTTACATTCCTGTTCTCTCAACTAGAAAGAACCAATGTCATTTTCTCTTGTTTCACCTTCTACTTTCTTCAATCAATAGAGACAGGAAGCTCCGGTATTTAGATTTTTAATGTTGCAAGCATTCACTGTGGTTCCTTTTGAACCATTTCTAATCCATTTGCTTTTAAGAAGAATGGTCATGGCACATAGGTTCTAGGCCACTAGACTCTGTGTGGTTTTTGTCTTTCTCTGGCTTTGTTCGTGGACCACAGCACTGAAGATGTTCTCGTCTTCAGAGGTGGGCTCTTTGGGGCCACATCATTCTTGGTTTTCCTGGCATTGTGAGCCCTCAGAGCAGAGAGGAAGGCCCAGTCTTTGACCCTTTCCTCCTTTCTGCTAGGTGGGAGTAAGGACAATGTTCTCAACTTACAGAAGGGCTGATTCTCTAGCCAGGTGACTCAGATGTGCTGTTGGTCATGGTTTTCCACCCACCACAGAGCAGGCAGGGTGCCACTGGAGAATCTGAGCAGAAGCGGATATGCATTTAGAGCAAGAAACCAGGGATGTGGAGACTGACCATCTGCTTACTGTTAGGTGGACACTCGGCCAGAAGGAGACATGGTGGATGTTCTCCACCTTAATGCCCAAGGCTTCTCTTCAGCCTCCAGAAAAACCTTTCTCATTTTTGGGAAAACAGTGTAGATAACCTTCAAGGTTCTCATTTCTTTCTTTCTTTCTTTCTTTCTTTCTTTCTTTCTTTCTTTCTTTCTTTCTTTCTTTCTTTTCTTTCTTTTTTTCTTTCTTTCTTTTTCTTTCTTTCTTTCTTTCTTTTTTTAAAGATTTTATTTATTTATTTGACAGAGAGAGACACAGCGAGAGAGGGAACACAAGCAGGGGGAGTGGGAGAGGGAGAAGCTGGCTTCCCACTGAGCAGGGAGCCCGATGCAGGGCTCGATCCCAGGACTCCGGGATTGTGACCTGAGCCGAAGGCAGATGCTTAACAGCGGAGCCACCCAGGCACCCCAAGGTTCTCATTTCTATACAGATGATGATTCAAGAGAGTCCAAATGTGTTATGATTTTGCTCCCTTTTCCCACTAAAATTCTTCTCTTCCTCAAAAGTCTTGGATCACTGCCCTCAAAAGTCTTGGATCACTGCTGGCTGCCTCGGAGCGCTGTGGATACATGTCCTTTACAGTGGTTCCCCTTTGCCTTTGGCTGCCCAGCCGTACACCAAGACACAGTCCTTTCACTGTGGGTGTGTGGTCAGAGTAAGGGGCTAAGTTATTAGGTTCTATCTTTATTATTAAAGAAAACCAGAAGGAGGGAGTTTGCATATTCAATAGCGTTGATAGAGAGCAAAGAGCTAAAGAAAACCAAGGAAGTATGATTTAGTTAAGGTACATTGAAGCTGTGCATATAACATTTTATTAGCCAGCGAAGACATAAATAACACCGTTCAGGGTTTTGAAATAAAAAGTGATAATACAATATCTATCCTCTGTCTATTTATAGCTCGCTCCATCCATCCATCCATCTCTCTCTCTCTCTCTCATCTCTCTCCTTCTCTCCAAACATACTATGTTAAGCCAGTATGTGGTCTAAGATTTTCTTATGGTTGAAATAGAAAAATGGGGCACTTCCACCTTTATTAGGAATCCTGGTTCTTGAATGCTTGCTTTATGCTTTCTACTACCAGCCTTTGATAAGACCTTTTTCTAAAAATTTTTTAAATTATTTTTTTTTAATTTAATGAGAAAACCCTATTAATGGCTTATTTTAGAATCTCTCTTCTTTGGTACCCATATCATTGCCAGTTGGATGATGTTTGTTTTCTTTTTCATATTGAGACCCCTTCATGCATGAAATCTCTCACTATTCTAAATACAACTGGAAGCATTTGAACCTGAGCAGCTATTTGTAGAATACCTTCACAAGACTGACCTAGTTTATAGATGGCCACGTAGTGAATGATGACAAATGTAGGCTGTCTCCAGAAAGGCCCTAAATTGAAATGATTAAACCTTTCCGGTGGCAAAGCCCCTTTGAGAGAGTGTTTAGTTTTAAAACTCAGATGACTTAGGAAAAAAATTTTTTTTTTAACCAGAGTGGAAGAAAAACCTACAAGACATTCCTTCAATTTTCCTCTAATTTGAAAATACATTTGAGGGAAATGAAGACTTTGCAAGCCAAGTTTTGGTGCAAAGTAAATCTTATAAATACCAGAAAATTTTACTGCGTGGGATGGAACAGCTGATCTACTCTTGATGGAGGAGTCTCTGTTGAAATCACACATCTCATCTGCTGCCAGGGAAATTCTGGGGACGACTTTCCATTACTTGGGGTATTTTTAAAGCTAATGATAGGTGTTATTTTCTTCTTTCTAGACTGCCACAAGTTTCAAAATGTACTTAGAAAACTGGAATATTCAGACAGCTACTTGGCTGAAGCGGTAAGAAAAATACAAATAATCTCATTCCTCATGGCATGGGGATATGTTTAGATGGGAGTCACCAGACGAGTGGCAGCTCTGCCAGGCATGATGTGTCACCTGACACTTTTGTATTAACATCTATTCCCTAGAAATGGAAAAGTAGAAAAGTAGTAATGTGAGAAGGTTACAATGAGGCATATTTATTTTAGTGGATCGCTTCACAGTGCCATTCCCGTGTACCAACCACTCATTTCCTTGTCATAGCAATCCCAGGAGAGATTGGTAGTTAGCCCCATTTTACAGATGAGGAACGTGACACACAAGAGAGGTTATGTCACTTGCCCAGAGTCACACAGCCAGTGAGGACTAGAGAAGAGCCCCAACAGACTGTGTCTAGAGCCAGGCTCTTAAACCTGTGTGTTGTGCCCCCTCTTACCTACAGGGAGGGTACATTGCTCAAAGGTCAAGGAGGGTCAATGTTGGCATCAGATCACTGACGATCTCCATTTATCCCTAGCATTAAAAGCTTTGTGGTACCCCAGATATTTATGCTTTTTCACTCTGTGTTTTTTGTTCATGTTTCTGTCCTTTTGTTTCTCAACACATTCCAAAATTGGAAACATAACAATATAAAACTGGTAATATGCTATCGTTGAAGCAACAAACTCTAGCTAGTAAATATTCCTATCTCATGAGTGCAGGGAGAGTATGAAACTATGAGGCTGGAGATTCTGGTTTTGATCCATAGCATTTTTCATGGGTCACAACATGGGGGTAAGAGACAATAGTAACACCTCCAAAGTAAGCTCGTGCACCGTTGTCCGAAAGTTGATCTGAACGTGCAATTTTAGAAAATTTGCACCTATTATTGCTATTAATTTTGTCAATAATTTTTATTTTTTTCACTTTTACTTTTAAAGATTTAAATCTTTAAAAAGAGTGAGGGAGCACAAGCTGGAGGAGTAGCAGAGAGGGAGAGGGAGAAGCAGGCTCCCCTCTGAGCAGGGAGCCCAATGCGGGACTCGATCCCAGGACCCTGGGATTATGACCTGAGCCGAAGGCAGATGCTTAACCAATCGAGTCACCCAGGCATCCTGTATTTTATCAATAATTTTAACATAAAACTCTATTTCTGTATATTGGGTAATCCCAATGTACCAAGAGTCCTACTGTCTTTTTTTTTTTGAGTCCTACTGTCTTCATTAGGAGTTTATGTTCTAAACATGTATGCTCATTTATAATGAGCATATTATAAATAAGAATTTTAAAAAGTCGGGGCACCTGGGTGGCTCAGTTGGTTAAGCAACTGCCTTCAGCTCGGGTCATGGTCCTGGAGTCCCGGGATCGAGTCCCGCATCGGGCTTCCTGCTCAGCAGGGAGTCTGCTTCTCCCTCTGACTCTCTTCCCTCTTGTGCTTTCTGTCTCTCATTCTCTCTCTCTCTAAAAAAAAAAAAAAAAAAAAAAAGAATTTTAAAAAGTCATTTTAGAAAATGAAATATTTGTACTAAAGATACAGAGTGTAAGAAACAAATACCTGGGCAAACTACCCCATTTCAAAGAAACATTGCAAGTGGCTTCCCAGTCCTGTGTTTCTCTCCCCAAATGCTTTCTCTTTCTTTGTATGAAAATGGAGCCATAATCCTTAGTTTGGGTTCAGATCAGTTACTTTTGACAACCCATACAGAGCTGGATTGGTGTTAAGTCTTTGAATTCCTATTTTATTTTTTATTTGGGTGCTCTTGTTTAGTAAGCCACGTAGTGCCATTGGCAATTTGTAGATTGAATTTGCTTTAATAAACAAGCAAGAGTCAAAGATCTCCAAGATCTTTGCAGACAATTTCTAGATCCTCACAATGTCACTGTTTAAAGCAAATTCATGGATTGAAGTCCAGCGGACACTGGAAGAGCTGAAAAGTCAGTAGCCGACACATTGATTTTGGGCTGGAGTCATTGCCAAGAGAGATGAAAGGGTTTGCAGCACTGCCTGGTTGGGTGGCATGAGGGCCAGGTTGGAAAGATGAATTAAGGATATCCACTTTTTTTTTTTTTTTAAGATTTTATTTATTTATTTCACAGAGAGAGACACAGCGAGAGAGGGAACACAAGCAGGGGGAGTGGGAGAGGGAGAAGCAGTCTTCCCACTGAGCAGGGAGCCCAATGCGGGGCTCAATCCCAGGACCCTGGGATCATGACCTGAGCCGAAGGCAGATGCTTAACTGACTGAGCCACCCAGGTGCCCTGAGGATATCCACTTCTAAAGATGCTATCCTGATTTTAAAATTTTTAGTGCCAGTGGCACTTATCCAACAGTACTCCCAGTAGATTAGGGTATTGGTGGAGTGAGCTTCTATAAGGCAGGAGTTCTTATTGTATAGGGTGGCCACTTGGACTTTTATTAAACATAGTATGATGGTGTCTAGATCACTTAGTTCCCTGTAGGTTACAACTTCATATTCCTCTCCCCAAATGACTGGACTGTGATCTGGCCTGTCTGGTAGCATTCAGGATGTGGAGTTCAGGCAGCTGGGATTGCATTGAAAGTCCCCAATAGGGGACTGATCAGATGATTTTGGTCTGAAGACACAAGTGTGGGTAGATGCTTTTGGTCTGTCCGACCTGTGACTCGTGCCTTCCTCTCTTCATAGAGTATGCTATGAACGGGTTCCATGGTACCCCACGGTGCTAACCTTTGTCTTGTCTGCCTTGTGGCATGGTGTCTATCCTGGATACTATTTTACCTTCTTAACTGGAATCCTCATCACAGTAGCATCCAGAACGGTAAGCTTCTTTTGATTGTAGGATCTTTTCCTTAATAATCTGATGCCTCTGTGTTTGTCATGAGAGAACTCCTTCAATATATAGGAATTTTGGGCCATAAAATGAACTATTTTCATGTTATTCGCAGACGGTGTTTGCAAAAAGGCATTTTAGGAGTAATGAATGTTTAATACCTTAAGAGATGAAAAAAATTTTTTTGAAGATTTATTTAGAGAGCAAGCACATGAGTGGGGGGCCAGGGGGCAGAGAGAGAAGGACAGGCAGACTCTGTGCTAAGCTTGGAGCCTGACGTGGGGCTTGATCCCACAACCCTGAGAATATGACCTGAGCTGAAACCAAGAGTTGGATGCTCAACTGACTGAGCCACCCAGGGGCCCCATCTCTATAGAGGCTGAAAAAAGTTTTAATTGTTAAACAAAGTCTTCCAAATACAGATGAAGATTAGTAATTGAGGCTCTGTAGGCTTCATTTTGCTTATACTCATCTTAATTTCTCAGTTCATTATCCTAAGCTTAGAAATAATTCACAGTCTGTGCAGACAGTAAAATTGTAACCATAGGAACTGTGTTGTTAGAGATTGCTCTAACTTTTCATGTTCTTGTGCCTGATCCAGTAAATTAGTTTGTGTGAAATTCTTTGTGAATTTTATAAATTCGGTTCTCTAGGTTTTTGGGGGTAGCCTTCAGTTTGTCCTAGAGTGTTCCTATCATCTGCTGGTTGTAGAGCAGGATGATAAAGACATAAAAAATATGCCTGTCCTTAAAGAATGAGATAGGCATGTAGGTAAGTCATTACAACGCAGAGTGCTCTGATTGTCAAATAGAGTTTGTATTTGATTTGGTTGCAATTTGATAATGATTGTGGCTTTCCTTATTCAGGTGCCAGGAATTTTTAATGACATTTGTCAAACTGTATTTTGGGTGTGAATTTAGGAGCCCCAACAGAGCTATTCACTCATTCTTTAACTCACGTATTCTATGAATATTTCAGGAGCCCGCCTATGTGCCAGTTTGGGTTCTAGGCACTGGGATACCACAGTGAACAAGAGTCCCCTCCCCACGGAACTCCTGTTTTAGCTAGGTGAATATTTGCTGGAATATATGTGTGAACAAGAATGATAATTGATTACAACTCATGCTGATGAGTTTACTTTTAAAAGTAAAGTATACATTGTACATGGGAAACAAAGAACACCTTTTCTCTTCTCCCATTTATCTACCTACTTGGATTATAAAAGAAATGTAAAGAGCAGATGGCCAGGACAAACTAAACCAAGGACCAAAATTTTATTAATCTCTCCAGAGTATTATTCCTGAAGATGTCTTTAGCTCTGTGATCTCAGTTGGTATAAAAGCATTGATTTATATAAAGCCTTTCTTTTGGATGGCCTGGACGTATTTTTCACAAATGAGGTAGGTAGGGGGTTGAGAGGGTTGATAGAACAGGATTCCCAGGAGAATGAACTCAGTAGTGAAGTGCCTTAGGGGCTTTCTGATACCTCTCATGCATCCCCCATGGATGGAGCTCTGGCAGTATCTTGAACTTGGGGCCAAGAAGGAGTTTGTAACCAACCAAGGCAGCCCCGGGAAGCCTTTCCTGCTTTGGGGCTGACCTGCCTCTAAGCCAGCCGTTGTTTTAGCTATGCCTCTGGTTCTTGGGTCTTGGGAATTGGGTGTCTTTCTGGAGGCAAATCTAGTCCCGTATGTCAAAAGACCTACAAATTAACTATGGAAAAGCTAGCTTTTCCATAATTAAAATGATATCAGATTAATATTTCCTGACATGGAATGATTTTTGATCCATTACTAAATGAAAAAAACAGGCTAGAAAATCCGTGCCCTTAGTGAGAATACAAATATGGATATGCATGAATAAGAAAGGCTTGGAAGGATATGTGCCAAGTTTATAAACAGTACTTTTCTCTGAGGAGAGGTCAAAAAGTAAATTCTTTTTTTTGTTCAGTTCTTTGAACATTTGTCTACAGTGGACATAAATAAATATATTGATAATAAAAACCACAGTGGTACTTTGGATCACCTATATTCCTGAAGTATAACGCCTACATGCACAAAATAAAAGTTGTTTTTATTTTTCATACCCGCCCCCGGCTTCCTTGGCTTGCAGGTGAGGAACAACTACAGATGTTACTTCCTTTCCTCAAAAGCCCTCAAGGTTGTGTATGATGTGGTCACCTGGGCAGTCACTCAGCTGGCTGTCTCTTACACTGTCGCACCCTTTGTCATGTTGGCAGTTGAGCCAACCATCAGCTTATACAAGTGAGTTTCCATCCTTCTCTATTGCTGTTTGGTACGCTGTTCTGTTTTCTCTGTGTTTGACTTGGGGTTGGTTAATTGGATCACTTGGTATTAAGAATTTCTAAATACAGCTTCAACGTGAAAATGTCCATAGACAGCTTTGGGAGGACCTGGTTATCCCAGGGACCCCAACAGACACACAGCAATACATCGATTTTATTTACTTGAGAGAGAGCTAGAGAGGGGAGAGGGTCAGAGGGAGAAGCAGGCTCCCTGCTGAGCAGGGAGCTTGATGCGGGACTCGATCCCAGGACGCCGGGATCATGACCTGAGCCGAAGGCAGACGCTTAACCGACTGAGCCACCCAGGCGCCCCACACAGCAGTACATCTGGGCGAAGCTGGTGGGCAGCCTTTCAGACACTCCTAACATACTGAAGGGATGCTAGGACCGTGAATTTTGAAGGGCTATATCTGGATTATAAACTCAGAGGGTGAAATGTGCTGCCCTTGCCTCTTTTTCCTGGGGGTCAGGCTATGTTGGAGTCTTGTGGGGGAGCATCCTGAGAACAGGACAGAAGCCGACTGCAGCTGGATGGGATGACCTGAGGGGTCTGCGGGTGAGCTTGGTGCTCTAGGGGATGCCAGTGCTGGTGTGCACACGGGGGGTTTATGGTGTGAGCTGCAGGGGTGGAGGGAAGAGATGGCTCACACCAGATACAAGAGGCGTTTTAAAGAATGGGGGTCAGGCCTTTATATTCAACCCCCAGTGGTCCTGAGGAACTGTGAACCTACTCTTGCTTGCTCTTATTATTTTACTGAGGTTGATGTAGTATTTTTCTACTATTGCCAACTGGTGTGTGACCTGTAGCAAGTGATTAACTCTCTCACCTGGCTAGACTCTTATCGCAAAGCACCGTTGTTAGGAATGAAATGAAGTAAATGTGCAAAGGGCACAGCGCAGTGCCTGGCCTATCGTCTATACCAGTCAGCGCTGACTTGTGTTATTGAAGGCTTGCGTAGGCTTTTGTAGATGATTCTGAAGTCCTAGCTACGCTCCAAGACTAAACAATGCAAACATGCCCTATTCATCGGTGGGGATTTCCTGGTCATTGTTGCACTGGTTGGAAATGATCAAAGAAGCTTTTACTACTCAATACACAGCAAGGTCTAGAAGTAGAGAGATTTTTTCCCCCCAGGTTATAGGCCAAGAAGGTGGAGGAAAGTATATGCTGCTAGTGAAGTCTGTTTCTGTACCACCAGTTAGGTCATGGGAGTTCTGTCAGTATAATGTGGTAGTTGAGCTGGTTTATATACAGATGTTTCTGCACAAGGGATACCAGAATAGTGGGAAAGAATTCTAGTCCTCAGCAACCAGAGCTCTCTGGGTAGGTACCACAGAGGGAAGAGCACGAGCCCCTGCAGCTCTGGAGTAAGAACATTGACAGTGGGGGTCCCTCTCCAGGTACGCCCCTCCCCTTCCCCCCCCCCCCACCGCTGCCACCGCACCTGCTCTGCCCTGGCTCTCAGCTGGCTTTCTTCCTCTATGCCCACCTTGAGGGCAGCCCCCCTTGCACACAGCTCCATCTTCCTTCCCCTCATCTCTGTGCCCTTCAGCCAATATTTGCCCTTTCCGGTCTTCTCCATTTTAACATCGAGCTGTCTGCCTGGCTTCGGTGCTAATTGTTCTTGTTAGTGCTCCGGTTACAAGGTCTCACAGGTTTCGAGTTGTCTGCTTCTAACATGACCTCCCCCATACCTCCGTACGCCCCAGTATTCTAAGTGCATGATACTGCTGAGTGGGAGATTTTTTTTTCACGTGATCGCAGAAATGGCTGCATTCAACTCCAAACCATTTAATACCTTCTGTCTGCTGGGCACTGTTCTAGAAGCATTCCAGATCTGTTCCCCACTTGGGGCTAATTCTGTAACCAGCAATGAATGGCAGGTGTATGCAAATCCACTTCTCAGCCTGTCTTTCATTGCTTACCATTTAAATTTCAGACCTGCTTTATTTTTAAGTGTAGTCAGTTTTCAATCTATAGTGACTTCATAGCTTTAAATTCCTACCTAATCTTAAGTTGTAAATGAGTCCCAAGTGAACACTTAAGTGTGTTATGAAAGAACCTGTCTTAGCTCAGGATGCTAGCTAGGACTAAGTATAGACTGAGTGAGTTCAACAGCAGACATTTCTCACGGTTGTGGAGGCTGGGAAGTCCAAGATCAAGGTGCTAGCAGATTCGGTTTCTGGTGAAAGCTGTCTTCCTGGCTTAAGGAAGGCTGCCTTCTTGCTGTGCCCTCACTTGGCAGAGAGAGAGAGAGACATGAGAGAGAGGGACAGCTCTGGCCCCCGTTTATCTTCTTAGAAAGGCACTAATCCCATCATAGGGGCCCCACCCCAAACAGATTGTCTACTTCTCCAAATACCATCATATTTAGTCCATAGCAGAACCTTTCTGTGAACTCACTTTGAAAAGCAAATCCATATACGTTAAGTAGATGACTGACCCTTTCTTAAATTCAGTGTGTGAGGATGTTAGAATTTGTATAGACATTTTTGAAGATAACAAAGTCCTTGAGAGTGGGAACTATGCCTTATTCGTCTGTGCCTCTGGGGTACCTAGTTTTGCCCTAGCATGCTCACTAAATGTTGAGTTTTTCCATAATAAAAAGATGGAATAGGTCTTAAAATTTTAGAGAAATATGGTGGGTCAGAATAGGTTCCTAAACTTTGCAAGGGGGTTGAAATATTTTTTCCCTTGACTCCCAAGATACTTGGCTTTAATCTAACATAATTGTTCCATTGTAGATCTGGCCACGTAGGAAAAGAACAAAGTACATAGGCGTGCAGACTTTGAAATCTATGGCTGGGGTTGCCTGTTGAGAACCCTAGTTTACACCTGTTGAGCCAGTGTTTCTGTCTGTAACTCTTTCATTCTCAGTGCTCTGGTTTAGACACTAAGTGAGTTGCTCACTTGCCTGGGGCTGTTTCAATTGTAGGAGCCCCCCCCCCACCTCACCCCTAGTTTTACTTTCCATGGTTTCAGTTATGCATGGTCAATTGCTCTCCAGAAACAGATGATCCCCCTTCTGATGTATATGGTCTGAAGGTCAGGAGTAGCCCCATGCTACTGATTTAATCATTTCCCATCATCACAAGAAGGGTGAGTACAGTACTGTTGTACTGGATTTTGAGAGGAGAGACCACATTCTCATAACTTATTATGGTATATGGTTATAATTGTTCTATTAGTTGTTAATCTCTTACTGTGCCTAATTCATAAACTGTATCATAGGTAGGTACATATAGGGAGAAACGTAGTATATAGAGGGTACAGTACTATCCACAGTTGGAGACATCCCCTTGGGGGTTTTGGAACATGTCCTCCAGCTCGGTCGGGGGTTGGGGGGGTGGGGAAACTACTCTACCTTACCTCCTATACTTGTTTCCCATTCCCCTGAAGAAAGAGATGCAAGCTTTGCCTTTTTATAAATCCTGGTTTAATGCTTTGTACATCCTAAGCAGTAAATGCATATTGAAAGAATAAGTGAGTGAAGATGTGTTCGCTTCTGTTAGAAGTCTTGACTATTCTGTAGATATTTTCAGGGAAGTTTAGGGGATATGTGAATTATTGGATTCTAATGGGTCTGACCTTCTGATCACAGAAGCTGAGGAATGATGCGTAAATCCATTGTGGGTTTTTTTCCCTCCTTTTAACATTATTTTTCCTTTGATCTTCAGAGACTATTGGAGAAAGTCTAAGTTCAGCCTTTTCAAAAGGATCTAGAAAAATTGTACAAATGCGAGCTGTTTCTAATTACATTTTCAGATATGCCAGTATTTACTGTCTACATTGTGCTCAGTATGCTGAACACCACATTTACGCAATAAAATTTTGTCCACAGACTCAAAAGCAACACTTGTTTCTTATTAGTTTGGATGAAAGCTATTTTAAGAGTCATGGAGTAGGTTTTGAAAATCTGGATTCTTCTGGCTCCTCACACACACAAGAAGAACCCCTTATACTTGAGTACATCGGCTAAAGTTGCATTTGTACAGAATACAGGGTTTGAATTTTCCTGTGTGTCCTTATATTTCAAATATTAGGGGATTCTGGCTGTCATGGGATTAATGTTCTTAGTTTGCTCATGGCAGTGGGTCTATCTGTAGATGGGCTGATGGGTTTGCTCTACCCAGTCCCGTGGTTTTGGTCCATCCCTGGCCTGCTCACCTACTGGAGTTTTCATGGGGTGGACTGAAGCAAGCCACTCGCTGGACTGCAGATGATGTAATCACATCCACGTGACATTTCCCATTTGTTTCCTTGTGTGCAATTTAATTTTTGTGTATGTTTCATTCTAGGTCCATGTATTTTTATTTACACATCATAAGTCTCCTGATAATACTCTTTCTGCCAATCAAACCACACGCTCATATCCAGAGGCAGCCTCAGACTCTGAACTCCATTAATAAGAAAAAAAAAGACTGATACCTCCAAGGAAGCCGAGCAGGTAAAACAGCAAAACATCAGAAAGAGGAGATCAAAGGCTCAAGGGTTCACCAGGGACTTAGAAGTGATGTTTACATGCTTTTTTTTTTTTTTTTTAAGTGCAGGGAGTATTTTATAAAGCCTTTTCTATGATTAAGTTAGCCATGTCCAGTTGATTTAATATTGCCGAGGACATTTGAGTGGTGTGGAGGAATGTGGAGACTGTGCTGGTGTTGCAGAGACCATCCAATCTGGGCTGCTGGGTCTTTGCTTTTCTGGCATGATTTCCAGCCACTGGACCCCGGGCACCTGCTCCAGAAGGCAGAAGGTGGTTGCTGACGGAGCTTGTCTTCCAGAACATACCCACAGTTGTTCCTGGGGAAACCCCAGACCCTTTGACCACAGCAACTACACAGAAGACCGTGGAGGAGAGGGATCTTGCAAGAAGGACCCAGGAGGACTTGCTGTGAACACTTGAATGGACTGAAAGGCATGCCCTGAAGTAGGCTGCATTTTTTTTTTTTCCAGGGATAGGACTCTTCCCTTTTTTCTTTGAACTGAGCCAAGATCGGAAATCAGAAAGTCTCCTGTGCACATACCCGGGGAGTCTAGGAAGGGCTGTTTTCCATTTCACATGTGCCATCTGCCTTGCCCAGGGTGGCCCTGAGAAAACACCCAAATGTTTGCATCATCAGAGGCGGCAGAATGTCTTTTAAATAATTTTTTTTAAAGTTAAGTTATACAGGAGCTTGGTAAGAAGCAACGTTTTTCTTTGCTCCCCTCATTTCATAGAGGGGTGAATGATCATGGCTATGAAGCACACATGGGCTGATTTTCACTTTTCTGATTTTGCACCTGTTTTAGTTGAATCATATTGGAAAGCAGACATTGAAAACCATTTTCTATCTTTGTTATGAATGTGCTTTCAGGGACTTCTATTGGGTGATAATTCTATGTGGGAGAAGGAAACATGGTATTAAATGTGCAAAATAATAATGATGCTGATAATTGTATGGTACAATGGTGTGCCCTCATATAAATGCCTTGGGAGGAGAGAATTTGTTCAGATGGTCAAAAATTGGTTTCATACTGAGTGAATACTGTGTTTCTATATAAAGGAAATGTTTCTGAACAGAAGGGTGGTTTTTTTGTTTCTGTGAGTGGAGACTCGGCATTCTGAAGCACGTGTGTATATTTGTGTGTTTCTCTGTGTTTTAACAAATATGCACAAACTTAAGGTTTTACTTATTTCAAATTTGAGCATTTACAACATGTTCAATTTGTCCTCTATGTCAGGCACTTGGATGGTTTTGATTTTTGGTTTGATTTCCTATCCTCATTCCCACCTTTGCAGGTAGGCTTAAACCCTTTTTACAGATGAGGAAATGGAGAATCAGAGGGATGTTTGTTAACTGTCCCCAGTCACAAAGTGAAGGAGCAGAGATTAAAATCCAAGGCAGTCCCATGAGAGCTGTTGGCAGTTGGTATTTCCAAGAGATATCCTGCTGCTGCTTCTCTTAGAACAATGACATGTGATGTGCTGGTCCCTTGAAGAGTTTATATGGTGCTGGGGGAGAATACTAGAACCTGAACTCTAGGCCTTATGTGAGGTAATGGAAGTTAAAAAGTAGCACATTTTGGCCAGTGTTTGAGGCTCACCCCAATTTAACCAGGTAACATTGGGGCAATCCTACCTCTCTGGTCTGTGAGGGAGGTTATGGGGAAGGGGATGTAGGTGCTTAAAATCTGGGACTTTTTTCAACAAGAACATTTTGAGGCTCAAGACCAAGAAAAATGCACACTGGTTAAAATGGTATAGATCACCATGGGCATAAAGTGTATCATCGAGTAATCCATGTTAGAGAAGTCTTTGAATTTGCAATATGATTTCAGGTTTCACTGTATTTAAACATCTTCATTTCTGAAGGAAGAATTTTGGTAGCAAGAAGATTGGTGATCTCTAGGGTGACCAACCATCCTGTCATGCTAGTGACTCTACTGACCCTTCAGTCCTGGGCAAACATGGAACATTGGTCCCTATAGTGTCTGCTAAGAATCACTTATTCATTACTGAATGGAGTCAAGTTCAAGCCTTTGGAATCCAGGCTTATAGATGTTGTATGTCAGACAAATGGACCCTTAGGTACATTTTTCTTATTTCAGGGCTTTATTCAGTGTAGGCATGTTTTCTTTCATGCACTTCACTTTCTTGTGCTTTGCCAATACTGTTTTTCTTTTGTTTTGTTTACAAATTGAAGGTTCACAACAACCAGATGTCAAGCAAGTCCATTGGCACCATTTTTTTCCAACACTGTTGCTTACTTATGTCTGTCACATTTTGGCAATTCTCACAATATTTCAAACTTTTTAATTATATCTCTTCTGGTGATTTGTGATGTTACTATTGTAACCTTTTTAGGGTGCCATGAAGCCCCCCCCAAATAAGACAAGGAGCTTAGCTGAGAAGTGTGTGTGTTCTGACTGCTCCACCAACCAGTTGTTCCCCATTTTTCTCCCTCTCCTCAGGCCTCCCTGTTCGCTGAGACACAACACTGCAACTAGGCCCATTAACCCGACAACGGCCTCCAAGGGTTCAAGTGAAAGGAATAATCACACATCTATCACTGTAAATCAAAAGCTAGAAATGATTAAGCTTAGTGAGGAAGGCATGTTGAATGCCAAGATAGGCTGAAAGGTAGGCCTCTTGCACCAAACAGCCAGCTTGTGAATATAAACGACAAGTTTTTGAAGGAAATGAAAAGTCCTTTTCTCGTGAACACATGGATGATTAGAAAGCAAAAGTCTTATTGCTGACATGGAGAGTTTTAGTGGTCTGGAGAAATCAAATCAGCCATAACTTTCCCTTAAGCCAAAGCCTAAATTCTGTGAAGTCACTGAGAGAGGTGAGGAAGCTGCGGAAGGAAAGTCTGAAGCCAGCAGAGGTTGGTTCATGAGGTTTAAGGAAAGAAGCCTCCTCCATAAAGTGCAAAGTGAAGCAGCAAGTGCTAAGAAGGTTAATGAAGGTGTCTGCACCGTTAATGAAGGTGTCTGCACTGAACAACAGATTTTCAATGTAGATGAAACAGCTTTCAATTGGAACTAAGATGCCATCTAGGACTTTCATAGCTACAGAGAAGTCAGTGCCTGCCTTCAAAACTTCAAAGCACAGGCTGAACCTCTTGTTAGGGGCTAATACAGTTACTAAGTTGAAGCCAACGCTCATTCACCATTCTGGAAATCCTAAGGCCCTTAAGAATGATGCTAAATCTACTCTGCCTGTGCTCTATAAATGGAACAACAAAGCCTGGATGACAGCACATGTTTACAACATGATTTCCTGAATATTTTAAGCTCACTGTTGAGACAGGAAAGGTGGAAAAGAAAGAAAGAAGGAAAGAAGATTCTTTCAAAACATTACTGTTCAATGACAATGTACCTGGTCACCCAAGAGCTCAGGTGGACATGGACAATGAGATGAATGTTGTCTTCATGCCTGCTAAAACAGTATCCATTCTGCAGCCTATGGATCAAGGAGGTCATTTAGGCTTTTAAGTCTTATTAAGTAATACATTTCATAATGTATAGCTGTTGTAGTTAGTGATTCTTCTGATGGATCTGGGCAAAGTAAATTGAAAACTTTTTGGAGTTCTGGATCAAGATGGTGACACAGGAAGACTGAGCCCACCTCCTCCATGGATACACCAAATCTACATCTATTTATAGAGCAATTCTCCTGAAGAGCTGAGGAGTGACTGAACTGCTTCTGTACCGCGAAAGATAAGACCATATAGAGAATAGCAAAAGAGATGGAGACATGATAATGAAGGGAATCCCTCTTCCTCAGTGTTGCAAACTGCAGTGGGGAGGAATGGTATTGAGAGATCTTAAGCAGATTCATTTGCAATAGGGCAAGGAAAAAAGCTATGGTTTAAAAGACCACTTAGGATATAAAGGAACTGGCCCTAGACACTGCCAGATGACTGGGGAGCTGCTGGAACTCTCTCAGGGTTGCATTGGCTGGTGAGTACCATGGTTTGTATTTTCCTTCCTTCTTGACAGCACAGATGGGAACAGGGTTCTGGCACGATAGCTGGCCTGCCACCTCAGAAAGCCCTGGGCCCCTAGTCCATACAAGCCCCGGATGCTCTGGGGCACAGGAAAAAAGCCATAGCTTGAAGGGTCGATTGGAATACAAAGGAGCTAGCCTTAGAATATTGCCAAAGGGCAGGGAACTGCTGATGGAAATCTTTAGGTCACAGAGGCTTATGAGCACCCTGGTTAATGTTCCTCCACCACCATGATAGCATGAGTAGGAGCAGGGTTCTGGGCACCCTAGCCAGCCTAGCTCTTCAGTGAGCCCCAGGCACCTAGCCCACACCAGCTCCAGCCATCCTACTAAGGTGGCCCCAGCATGGCACACACCATGACACCCCTAGTCGGCACTCACTACAGCCTTAGCTTTCTCATCAAGGTGGCACAGGCACAAAGCACCTCAGAACAATCCAGGCCTATCTGAAAAAAAGAAAACCTACAACCAAGAATACCCTGCCTGGCAAGGTTATCCTTCAGAATTGAAGGAAAGAGAATTTCTTATGCAAACAAAAATTAAAAATGTTCATCACCACTGAACTGGCCTACAGGAAATGTTAAAGGTACTTCTTTAAATGGAAAATGAAAGGCCATAATTAGATGAAAATTATAAATAAAAAGAGGTAAAGTGGGACAACATATACATAAAATGTGGAAAGGGGAATAACAAAGTTCTTTTAGAATGTGTTCAAACTTAAGTGACCATCAACTTAATATAAAAAAATAAGTAAAAGTGTAACACTACAGAAAGTCACCAATCTGTAAGACAGCAAGAGAAGAAACAAAGCTACAAAAAATTGACCAGAAAACAGTGAACAAAATAGCAGTAAGTACATACCCATCTATACTTTAGATGTAAGTGGTGGAAGGAGCCAAGATGTCCTTCAACAGATGAGTGGATAAAGAAGATGTGGTTCATATATACAATGGAATATTCAGCCATCAGAAAGGATGAATACCTACCATTTGCATCGACATAGATGGAACTGGAGGGGATTATGCTAAATGAAATAAGTCAAGCAGAGAAAGACAATTATCATATGGTT